AACGGCATGCTATGCTGAGTGAGATAATTAGATATTTATCTGAGAACAATGGGATTTAATGAGGGTTCTCCCCGCAACCGGTTAGACGACAAATGGCGTCACGTGCACAATCTTCCACAAAATTTACGCGAAAGAAAAAGAAAAACCCACAAACTATTTTCTCCCCTGTTTTCCTGTTTTTCAATTTAACAAAATATTCATAAAAAATATTGCTAAGACTTTTCCGTCCCAACATGAACCGTTAAACCATTACTTCCCTGCAGCCATAAATTCCGTAGATAATTATTCCCTAAAAACTTGACTAACGGAGACAGCTGCCCCCCCCCCCCCCTCGAGGATTCCTTCACCTCGTGGCCGGTAACAATGGCCCCTAATGACCAGCCTGTCGGGTGCCAGGAGTCGTTATACACTCTCGCCAAGCACAGTGCCACCCCCCTTTTGCTTAATTGTTGCTGAGGAAATGTTTGTTCCAGCGTTCTGGAGAGGTATTTCTTGGATCTGAAGATTTATTACGTGAGGAAGACAAAGAGAGTGTATTTACTCTCTGTATTTGTGGCTGTAGAATCGTGCAGCTTGCTTCTGTCTTATTCTTACATTCATCCTATTCTTACCATATTGTTACATTTATCCTATACTTTCCTTATTCTTTCCTTATTCCTACCTGCTTCTCACCTCTCTTACCTAATTTATTTGCCTTTAACTTATCCTATTACGGGTTATTCATGCCCGTGCCACCTCTTGGGTGGCTTAATCTTCATCAATCAATCTTCAGCTACTTTTAATTTGTATTTATGAATACTTAGTGTTTACGAGGAAGTGGAGCCTAGCACTTGATGCCCTGCCTCCTAGCTTTTGTTGCAGCTGTTGAGTTACAGATTAAATAGTCTGACGCTCAAACTCTTTTGTCCTTAAGGTTGCGGTGGATGGAGGTGGCTTCCTTAACTTCTAGTAGTACATTCTACTTGCTGTTTACTCGTTCGAGATATAAGGGTATTTCCTTACATTTCTTCGGCTCATTGGCGTTTCCAGCTTACATTTTGTGTGCTACCGAATGAATGAACTACTTACTAGGATGGCAGTTAAAGAGGCCTAGTTGAAGACCGGGCTGAAGAGACATTGAGCCACGAATTCATCGCAAGATTACTTTCTCTCAATTTAAAGAGGCCATCCCTGTCTGCCTTGTCTACTCCCCGTCATGTGTCTTCTCGGTAAGCTGCCCACGGCAATGATCAAAGCAAAGTTAGAGGAGAATGATAATCGTTTTCTATACTTTGGAGACGTCAGCAATCACAAAATAAAAATTCCTATTCCGGAACAAAAATTGCGTTACATTGTGTAATTCTTAACCTTTCTAGGCGATGTATGCAATGTAATCTTGTTCCTTTGTGACCAAGAGTTCCTCGAGTCAGGGGTAAGTAAAGGTCAGGGGGTTCATTGTTGGGATGTCTTAACTGTGGTGTTGTTGCTGGGGTGTTGAAACTGTTGCTGGGGTGTTGGAACTGTTGCTGGGGTGTTGGAACTGTTGCTGGGGTGTTGCCACTGTTGCTGGGGTGTTGCCACTGTTGCTGGGGTGTTGCAACTGTTGCTGGGGTGTTGCCACTGTTGCTGGGGTGTTGCCACTGTTGCTGGGGTGTTGCCACTGTTGCTGGGGTGTTGCAACTGTTGCTGGGGTGTTGCCACTGTTGCTGGGGTGTTGCAACTGTTGCTGGGGTGTTGCAACTGTTGCTGGGGTGTTGCAACTGTTGCTGGGGTGTTGCCACTGTTGTTGGGGTGTTGCCACTGCTGCTAGGGTGTTGCAACGGTTACTGGGGTGTTGCAGCTGTTGCTGGGGTGTTGCAACTGTTGCTGGGGTGTTGCCACTGTTGCTGGGGTGTTGCAACTGTTGCTGGGGTGTTGCAACTGTTGCTGGGGTGTTGCCACTGTTGCTGGGGTGTTGCAACTGTTGCTGGGGTGTTGCAACTGTTGCTGGGGTGTTGCAGCTGTTGCTGGGGTGTTGGAACTGTTGCTGGGGTGTTGGAACTGTTGCTGGGGTGTTGGAACTGTCGCTGGAGGGTTGCAACTGTTGCTGGGGTGTTGCTGGGGTGTTGGAACTGTTGCTGGAGGGTTGCAACTGTTGCTGGGGTGTTGCTGGGGTGTTGGAACTGTTGCTGGAGGGTTGCAACTGTTGCTGGGGTGTTGCAACTGTTGCTGGGGTGTTGGAACTGTTGCTGGGGTGTTGGAACTGTTGCTGGGGTGTTGGAACTGTTGCTGGGGTGTTGCAACTGTTGCTGCGGAGTTGCAACTGTTGCTGGGGTGTTGGAACTGTTGCTGGGGTGTTGGAACTGTTGCTGGAGGGTTGCAACTGTTGCTGGGGTGTTGCTGGGGTGTTGTAACTGTTGCTGGGGTGTTGGAACTGTTGCTGGGGTGTTGCAACTGTTGCTGGGGTGTTGCAACTGTTGCTGGGGTGTTGGAACTGTTGCTGGGGTGTTGGAACTGTTGCTGGGGCGTTGCAACTGTTGCTGGGGTGTTGGAACTGTTGCTGGGGTGTTGAAACTGTTGCTGGGGTGTTGGAACTGTTGCTGGGGTGTTGGAACTGTTGCTGGGGTGTTGCCACTGTTGCTGGGGCGTTGCCACTGTTGCTGGGGTGTTGGAACTGTTGCTGGGGTGTTGGAACTGTTGCTGGGGTGTTGGAACTGTTGCTGGGGTGTTGCAACTGTTGCTGGGGTGTTGCAGCTGTTGCTGGGGTGTTGCAGCTGTTGCTGGGGTGTTGGAACTGTTGCTGGGGTGTTGCCACTGTTGCTGGGGTGTTGCAACTGTTACTGGGGTGTTGCAACTGTTGCTGGGGTGTTGCAACTGTTACTGGGGTGTTGCAACTGTTACTGGGGTGTTGCAACTGTTGCTGGGGTGTTGCAACTGTTACTGGGGTGTTGCAGCTGTTGCTGGGGTGTTGCAGCTGTTGCTGGGGTGTTGCAGCTGTTGCTGGGGGGTGTTGCCATTACTGCTAGAGTGTTTATGACGTCGGTGTGATTACGCTGCTGAAGGGTTAATGATATTTGTGGATTTTTCCTCGTTGGGTTGTTAGGTGTCTGGTAAATGGTGTTGTCTGGGTTGAGACGTTAGGTGTTGACATTGCTGGAAAAGTATTAGTGTTCTGCAGGTGTTTACAAGATAACGTTTGGGCGTTAAAGTTGCTAGAAGTGTTGGAAGAAGATGGAGTGATGTAGAAGTTTTAGTGGTGATATTTTCATTTTTAATCCTACTAAACGGGTTTGTTTGCTGAGAAAGTTTGATTGATGATCAAAGGGAGGCAGCAGGTCGGCCGAGCGGACAGCACGCTGCACTTGTGATCCTGTGGTCCTGGGTTCGATCCCAGGCGCCGGCGAGAAACAATGGGCAGAGTTTCTTTCACCCTATGCCCCTGTTACCTAGCAGTAAAATAGGTACCCGGGTGTTAGTCAGCTGTCACGGGCTGCTTCCTGGGGGTGGAGGCCTGGTCGAGGACCGGGGCCGCGGGGACACTAAAACCCCGAAATCATCTCAAGATAACCTCGAGATGTCAGTCTGGGTGCTGATGATCAATGCTGTCACCCTGGAATACAATTTAACCTTTGAATAATAGTGACTCCGGACGAAATTCTAACTCTTATGCTTTGACAGTGACTTTCAGGTCACATCATTTTTCGATTTGATTTTGATCCTCAAACTTAGCTCTGTGGCCCCCGGGGTTCCTCTTCCCCGGGCTGCCTCTTAATCCTCCAGAATACCTTAAGAATCTTTAAGTTCTTCCTGGCTGTACATCCAGGGTTCTTTCCCTCTGATCTTTTATATTTTAACGAGACTGGAGATACTCAAGTGAGTTTCTTAGGCTGTAGTTTTTAAGACTTTTCGTAACTTCTTGTCGTCTTACTTCCTGTCTTCTTGATTTTTATTTAATCTTCCTTTGCCCCTTTTTATCTATTTCAATCCTTCCCTATCCACTATTCCTTTTCTTAACCTGTTTATTAATCCACAATCAAATATTGAATTGACCTGACAATACTGTTCATAGCCTTAAAATAAATGCCTCGAATCTCTAAATACACACAAAATCCCATGACTTATTAAGGTCAATACAATTAGGTCTGTGATAATGTGAGTGCACAAGATTATGAGAAATATATCATGGCCATTTAAAGCCCCTATAATCAATAATTCCTGGCGTCAGGCTATGCCAACGATTAATTTGGCCAGTCCATGATCCACCAGGGGCCTCGTAGCCTGGTGGATAGCGCGCAGGACTCGTAATTCTGTGGCGCGGGTTCGATTCCCGCACGAGGCAGAAACAAATGGGCAAAGTTTCTTTCACCCTGAATGCCCCTGTTACCTAGCAGTAAATAGGTACCTGGGTGTTAGTCAGCTGTCACGGGCTGCTTCCTGGGGGTGGAGGCCTGGTCAAGGACCGGGCCGCGGGGACACTAATGCCCCGAAATCAACTCAAGATAACTCAAGGTATGATCCACTGACACCAATAAATGCAAACACTCAGCATAGTGTGTATTTTGGTTCCTATAAGGATCACTCTCAGATGTAGATTTACTAATAAATAAAAATCTCAATACAAATAAAACTTATGCGTCACCTTCCTGGAGAACTGAAAGGGCTCACTCTATCAATGTCGTTAACATCTCAGGAAATTCTCAGAGATTCCGGCCCTTTTACCACGGCGGAACTATAGAATATGTCTCGCATAGGTCGAGGATCTCAAAAACCGAGTTTTTTTTTAACTGTTACATTATGTTTTCTTTGTTATTTAGCTCTCAAACAACTTGTGTGGAAGGTTCGCGGAACTCCTTAGAACAAAGATTCAAGGAACCTATGAAGACAAAGATTCGCGAATGCCTTTGAGAAAGGTTCGTAGAACCCATTGAAGAAACATATCGGCTCAGATCGGCAATAAACATCTGAACAAAAATGAAATATAAGATAACATCATTAACATGTGTGTATAATTCATGACCCTTCATACTTAAACACCCCACTTGATCTCCCATGATCACTCGTGACAACATAATCGCCCATGACATATAATTACGGATCCCCAGGATACTCAGTATACACCTTAGGACTCCTGTGAGGACATACAAGACACTCCAGGGCATTCAAGAACTCCCAACGATTATCAAGAAAGTTTCAGCACACCGCAGGACGCTTTCAAGAAACCACAGGAGAACATCTCAAAGCACCAGAGAACGCTTCAACACACCTCAGAACTCCTCAATACACCTCAGGACGCCTCAACACACTACAATAGGCCTCAACACACTACAGGACGCCTCAGCACACTCCGGGACGCCTCAGCACACTACAGGACGCCTCAGCACACTCCTGTACGCCTCAACACACGACAGGACGCCTCAGCACACTCCAGTACACCTCAACACACTACAGGACGCCTCAGCACACTCCAGTACGCCTCAACACACTACAGGACGCCTCAGCACACTACAATAGGCCTCAACACACTACAGGACGCCTCAGCACACTCCGGGACGCCTCAGCACACTACAGGACGCCTCAACACACTACAATAGGCCTCAACACACTACAGTAAGCCTCTAACTACAGATTGGCTCTTCAGGACACTAGAGGACTCACCATGCTGCACGTGGACGGCGATGACGGAGGGTGGGAGATCAGACGGGCTGCAGCTGTACTCCCCGGTGTCAGAGTCCCGGACGTTGGACAACATGACCTGACTCCGGGTCTTGCTGGGGAACTTCTCTGTCTGTGTTGAGAGGGGGAGAGAGAGAGCTCTATGGACAATATGCAAGACAGATGGATGGAATAAAACACGACGAGTGAGTTGACTGGGAGCTCAGAGAGAGAGAGAGAGAGAGAGAGAGAGAGAGAGAGAGAGAGAGAGAGAGAGAGAGAGAGAGTGAGAGAGAGAGAGAAAGCTTCCGTGACTTGAACTCGGTTCAGGAGACCTAACATGCGAGATATAATGACTGAAGCCGACTAAAGAAAATTATAAAAGTAATGTTTCCTGAGCGCTTCTGTGGATGTTGCTTAAACATGTATGAGCTCTCTCTCTCTCTCTCTCTCTCTCTCTCTCTCTCTCTCTCTCTCTCTCTCTCTCTCTCTCTCTCTCTCTCTCTCTCTCTCTTTCTCTCTCTCTCTCTAGTAGACCATTCTAACGTATAACCTAAAAAAAATTAAACATTTCCTACATTCGTATATCATCACATTTCATTAGTTCTTGTCGAAGAGTCAATGTGTATGAACCTGCGTGAGTATCTTAAAAGGTTTCAAGAGTCTCCACTTTTTTCAAAGATTATTAAGATCTTTAAGCCTCTCTTTAGAGGATTTTTTTTAATAATTACATTAGGTAAGTCGCCTAATGTAATGTACTTCCTAGACTTGAGAATAAATAAGAAGGAATAAAGAAACAGATTCCAATTAAAGAAAAAAAACAAAAAATTTGGATGAATGGATTCAAGAACTAGCAGAAATTAAAATAAAAAACAGAGATATGGAGACATCAGCAACACAAACTTTAAAATAAAAGGATATTTCGGTTTAGTTCCATTATGTGAAGGTATACATCACGTACACAATGACATCACAATAACGTGAAATGTCTATGAGGAAGGCTTTAAGGTACTAACTGGGACGAGCAGGACGCTGGTACTAACTAACCCGCTCTCCTCTACCAAAGAATTCCTCAAAGGTATATACAAATTGTCTTTACACTGATCAGAACTTAGCGTCTGTTCTTTGGGATGGACCTACATCGTTCCTGGCTCTGAAGAAGAGATCCAAGTCCTTGGATAGAATATATTTTACCTGGAAGGAAGAACCGGCGTAACGTGTAAGAGAAATCAAGAGCGCTTAGATGGAGAAATTCAGTCGTCTGGAAGGAAAAACTTGAGTGTTTAGAGATAAAGAGGGACATTCCAGTGACTTGTTCGAAGACTGCGGTAGTCTAAAAAGGAAGAAATCAGGTAAATGGAGACAAGAACAGAGAGAGAGAGACATTCCAATTACATAGATGGGAGACTACTATAGTCTGGTGGGGGAAGAAACCAGGAATGCTGAAACAGAGAGGCAAGGAGACATTCCCGTTACCTGTATGGAGACGCCGCCGCGAGGGGAGTCGTAGTCAATGTTGGTAGCGCCGTGGAACCAGAGAACGTGCGCGGGTGGCTGACCTGGCGGATGGTGGATGATGCACGTGATGGTCAAGACGCTACCCGCCTGGATGTGGCGCTCGGCCGGTCCCTCGATCGTCACCAACGGAGCTGTGATTGTAAATAACGCATACACCCTTGTATGTGGTACAGGTGTCGTTATGTGTATGTGTATATTAAATTTACGCCACATGCATCCTCGGGGGAGTCGAATCTCCGACCTGCGTGGAAGCAAGGAAAGCTTCTATGATTGGACCATCATGCAAGTCAGGGGGTTCGACTCCCCGATGGTTCAGGAATATGAAATGTTTTATATTTCAACACAATACTGTGTTTTGCGTTTTGCAGTGTGTGTGTGTGTGTGTGTGTGTGTGTGTGTGTGTGTGTGTGTGTGTGTGTGTGTGTGTGTGTGTGTGTGTGTGTGATTCTGTGTGTAAATCACGAAAATTAACACGTGATGAAAAATGTGACAGAGTCAGACCACGAAGGAAGGATTGAAACATGCATTTCCTTACGTATTATTAAATGCGAAAGTACTTATTCAATAATTCTTCATCCTTCTGTAGATGTATTATTATATACGAAAGTACTTAACGTAAATTCTTGTTTCAATCCTTCCTCCATGGTCTGACACTGTCACACACACACACACACACACACACACACACACACACACACACACACACACACACACACACATATATATATATATATATATATATATATATAAATATATATATATATATATATATATATATATATATATACGCACATAAAGAGAGATACTTACTGGGGAGAGTGCTGGTGGTGAGGCGGCCTCTGAAGGCAGGATCGTCTAGCTGACTGTGCTCTGAAAAGAGACACGAGACAAGAGGTTATTGTGTTACTGCCTCGTAGCTGTGATGTCAGCACGTGTGAGGGGGAGGGGAGAAGAAGGGGTTATTATCAACCTCACATCAGCAACTATCTTATAGAAAATCGATATTGGTCTGTGACGATACAGTGTGTATCTAGGTAACATAGCCCAGTGTAGCCCAACACTATCAACTTGTAGTTGATAGTGTTAAACCCGAATGCTGTCACAGACCTGGACATAGTGGTTATTGAACCTTTAGATGGAGTAGGAATGATGAAGAGAGGGGATAGGGGGGTGGGTTATTGGGGGAGGGGGATGCAGGGTTTGGGGGGGGTGAGAAATAATGGTGAATGTGGTTAGTGAGGAGAGTGAGAGTGTGTAGGATGGTGAGGGATCGTGGGTAGGGAAGCTTGATAAAGCAGGCCGGTAGAGGAAGACAAATTGACATGAATGTTTACGAAGGTCGATAGGAAATAGGATAACGAAGCAAGAACGAAGAGAGGAGAGACGAAAGGTGAGGAGGAGAGGGAATCAATATTTAAGAAGCCAGGGGGCCGGAATAAGTAAGCAAGGAAGAGAGGAAATGGAGACAAGGATATGAAATCAACACATAGGAAGATCCAAGGCAATGCAGAGAGAGAGAAAAGAAAAAAGCCTGAAGGATAAGAACTATAAGAGAATGAATAGATAAAGTAGTAAGATAAGAAAGCAAACAAGAGCAAGACAAATGCAAATGAAATAATGTGATTGTAATTAGAGAACGAGAATACCTCTGACCCGGAGAGCCACCTGGCGGCTGATCTTGGGATCGGAGTTGACATGACACTCATAAATCCCAGAGTCCCGCATCGTAGCGTACTTAATCTGCAGCGTCCAGTCCTTGGACTCCTCCGCGTGCACCACCTGCAAGAGACATAGGTCATCGCGTGAATCCCCATAAGCCCCCCTCCGTGAATCCACAGGCTCGTCATTCACAAGCTCCTGTCATCAAAATAACATTGCCAATCGGTTTGTCTCAACAGGATCGAATAAAACTTTTAATAAACAAAGGGGTATCACTGTTATTTGTTCACCACGAGCGGCAGAAGATATTTATAGCCGGGACGACAGCGTATACACCTATGGTGTTGTTGAACGAATGTAAATTCATCAAACTCTTTATGCACAAAGCAATGTAATTATATAATATTAGCAGGATAGACTCAATTCATATAATAACCATAAGAGCCACGTGGAGGATTCGAACTTACGTTCTGGATACGCCCAAGCTAACGCCTTAGACCACTGCACTAATACATGGTAACAAAAAATGCATCCTGGAATTCAGTAGGTCGCTCTAGGGGTACTGAGACTTCTAATTGCAGCCTAATCAGGGTTTTTAGACTACGACCAGAGTGCATGGGGGAAGGCAATGCGTGAAACCCTGATTAGGCTTCAGTTGGCCGCCTCAAGGAACCCTAGAGGATTCAGTTGAATCCCAAGTTGCCCTGCTTTTGACCATGTCGTGATGTAGTACTTTAAAGTGTTTGCTGGGGAGTACTCAGAACACAGGTTCACATCCTCTTCATAGCTCCCACTGATATTTGTCATTGACTCATCACGTTAATATCTCTTAGTGCATAATGGAGATAATTAAATGCGAATAGAGCTCACGTGTACACACACACACACACACACACACACACACACACACACACACACACACACACACACACACACACACACACACACTCACACACGCGCGCGCACACACCCCGCACGCACAATTATTAGAAAATACAAGTAGACTCATCCCTGAGCAAAAGTTACTGAGTTACGTGGAATGATTGAGACAATTTGGCTTCACCAATACGGAGGAGAGAATAAAAAAGAGAGGACATAACATCATTCAAGATTTCAAAGCAAATTGGCCAAATTAGACAAAAAAGAGTTCAAACTAAACCACAACGAACCGACATAGATGTAAAATAGAGATATACAAAAAAAAGAGTCAAGTTCACATTAGGATTTAAGTTGAGAATACAAGTAGCGTACGTGAGTCCAATACTTAAAGCACCAATTTCAGTGGTCAAGGTTCGTTGGGAGGTGGTTATTTACCTCCTACAGTTACGTCGCTCGCCATTTTGGCAAAGGTCAAGTAATGGTCACAAGAAAGGGCTTCGAGGAACGAAGTGAAGGAAAAGGTGGCCAGGCACTTGGACAACCCGGAATCGAACACCGACCCTGCAAAAGAAGCGAAACTAACTCAAATCGCTGGGTTTCGCAGGTTTCTTTGTGAGGTGGACGTTTTGACTGTTGGGGTGCTCGTAGGTGACGTGTCTGGAAGCCTCACTTCTTCATTTTTGGGGCATCTGAAGCCCTAAAGTGGACTCCGCCTTCTCGGGCTTCCTCTAAAGCCGTCTTGATCATGCTGACAAGACAATCTCTATGACATCTCTATGGAAAGGTACACAGAAGCACAGCCATAAAAGGTTTCCTTCATCTACGTATAAAAACCTTTATATAACCATATAATTTTTCATTTAATATAATCATTCTATTGTATGAACTTGTATATGAATATATATATATATATATATATATATATATATATATATATATATATATATATATATATATATATATATATATATATATATATATACAGCACTATAACCCTTCACAAGTGATTATCAATAAGAATTTATAATTCCTAGAGCTGATTCCAAGAGCTTATTAATTTACGGGCTCACCATAGTCCATGCTACATGGAAATTTTGTTCTGAGTAGCTTTATCTAACTAACCAGTCCCAGGCAACACTCGTAGGTCATCCTTTCTTTCACATTTTTAAGCTCAGCGCCCCAGCGTGCACCAGGATTTGTTGAAAAACTGCCCAAATTGCACCACAAAAGTTGCCAGGGATTGGTTAGTCTTGATGAGTCTAGTCTTAATGAGCTTAAGGACTAGCCAGTCATTATAGGTAATCGTTAAACAGTTTACGAGCTTTGAAACTACATATTCAAAGGTTGATTTTTGTCATATACGATCGCGCAGTGCTTCAAAGTTCGTAAAGTAATAAATATAATCAACGCTGTTAAAGCTTGATGAATTGCCCAGAAGAGCAACAGCAGCTTGAGCTGGAGGCAACTCATGACATCTTGAAGAGCAGCCCTTGGAGCAAATCTCACACCAAAGAAGACCACATTAACATGATCAAAACATTAACATCTGGAAAGCTAACATGTTTAGAAAAGATCTTTTCCTTCAACACACAGTTTATCTTATGTAAGACCAAGACTTGAGCATGCAACGCCTGGTTTGAGCCGACACCTCTTGAGAAAGTCCAAAATATATTTTAAAGGTTCCAGAGAAATGGAAGAGAGTTATGAGATCAGAATAAGAGAACTGGAACGCCGTCTTCTCGACTGGATCACTTTGAGACATTCATACAATAGCTATGAGGCAGTGCCCCAGAGAAAGGTCTCGTCTGTATAGACATACTGATGAAAGCAAGCATACATTTTATATTCATAAATCCTCTCCCATGTCCCTGACCTCATGTCATGAGTTCTGGAGTCCACCACTGCTCGCAGGATAGGTATGGGGTCCACCACTGCTCACAGGATAAGTATGGGGTCCACCACTGCTCACAGGATAAGTATGGGGTCCACCACTGCTCACAGGATAAGTATGGGGTCCACCACTGCTCACAGGATAAGTATGGGGTCCACCACTGCTCACAGGATAGGTATGAGGTCTATCACTGCTCACAGGGTAGGTATGGGGTCTATCACTGCTCACAGGGTAGGTATTTGGTCCACCACTGCTCACAGGATAGGTATGGAGTCCACCACTGCTCACAGGATAGGTATGGGGGTCCCTAATTAATGAACTAAATTAAACCACCTTCCCACGGTAATAGAGGTTAATAAAAAAGGACAAATATTGACCTCCTTTGCCTTTAGGAAGAGGCAAAGAAGAATGACAGAAGTCTTAGGGGAGAGATTTAAATTCTGAGAAGTTAGGGGAGAAATTAATTCAAGAAGCTGATGGGCGTCGCAGATTTAAGAGAGTGGTGAGGATTGATGCAGCAGAACCGAAGATTAAAACTGGAGGGAGGGAGAGAGGGAGAGAGAGAGAGAGAGAGAGAGAGAGAGAGAGAGAGAGAGAGAGAGAGAGAGAGAGAGAGAGAGAGAGAGAGAGAGAGAGAGAGAGAGAGAGAGAGAGAGAGAGAAGGGAAAGAGGGGGAGGGGAAAGGTGCAAGAGAGTAGGAATGAAGAAATAGAAGAAAGAGAAGGGTGGAAAAAGAGGCGAACGAAGGAGGGAGATGAGGAGAAACAGGGATATAATACGTTAGGAATAGGGAGAAAGGGAAATAGAAGTAACACAAAGATAAGAAGGTATTAGATGATAGCAAGGAAGGAAGGGATGAAAAATATGCTCAGATATCCCCTACTGACAGCTGAGTCTTCTGATTTACATATGTTAATTTTAACATATGTAAATTTCTTGTGTAAGAAATAACATAAATTTCTGTATTATCTCGCCTCATAATCTCTACGTTGTAATACTTGATTTGTTTTGATCTCATTAGATGACCTAAAGGAGCTCTACTTTTTAGCCATGTTACTATATTAATTGATTGGAGCTCAACAAGTTCAAAGTTCATTTGCATTCTTTCTCGACTAGTGAAGATAAAACTTACTCCAAAATTGGACAAACCAATTAACTGAACAGAAAACTGAATATTTTCTCGAATGGAGCCTCCAATGAATTGCCATTTAATTTAAACTGCAGTGTATCTCAATAAAGTTCTATAATTATTTTACCATTCTTTACCACCACAACACGCTAAATTGGCTTCATATCATTAGCCACTTTTACCGCCTGATGTGACCCTTTTCCTGTATGTTGAAAACCACAGGTGTTCATCAGACAGCCTGCGACTAAGTTTTTACTTCGAAGTTTCACTACTTAACATTTATCAAACTTTACCTCTAACTTACTGTTTGTTATTAAAGTTTGCTAAGTCGTGTATAAGTTCAGCTTGTAACTCGTAACTCTTAATTCGGGTCGAAACTTCATTTATTAGTTGAGTGTCAACGGTGAATTTGTAATTTAGTTTAGAATATATAAAAAAAAAACATGTTGCCTATGCCTTGAAGTCACACAGTAATATAATCGACTCCGGAAGAGGAACATGCAGCGCACCGCTGCTTCTGTTCGCTCATCCGGATGCATATTCGTTCACGATCATCCTTCCTTACATATTGGACATCCCGTTATCTATGAACAAGACTAATCGTTACTTGGTTACATCACCTATCGTTATTATACGTACAAGACTGTGTTACTTGCGTATAAAAAATTCATTTTCCAGCCAGAGTTGTCCTAGCAATCAGTTCCACGAGCCTTTTTATTTATGAAGCAGACAGTGGTGAGTTGACCAAACCACACGTCAGAAAAATGGAGAAACGACGATGTTTAGGTCCGTCCTGGACGATTATCAAGTCCAAGTTGATAATGATATAAGACAGAACGATATGACGTTGTTTCTCCATATTTTTATGTCTGGTTTGGTCATCATATCTTCAGCCACGTTATTGTGACTCATCGTCTGTAGTGACAAGGTGACCACTGGTTCAAGACGAGGCTATACCACAGGAAAATAATAGTTATTAGTATGCATTCTCACAGACATAATAACATAGGATAAAAAACCCACACTTGCGTATATGTAAAATTTATGTAGAAAATCGGAGCTTAGTTTTATTAACGGTGGTAATTGAAGGTTATTTAGGCAGCACCACCACACGCGTCTTGGGATAGCTAGATCTTAGAAGCACTACGACATGCGCCTTTGAACGACAATATTAGAGTGAAAAAGTGACATTAGCTCATAATGTAATTAGCCCTTGGGTATGCGTCTTAGCAAGTAATCACCAAGAAAGTTCTCTTGAAATAATATTTTTACTTTTTGGTTTTAAGTTAGAGAAAATACGAACCGAAGCACACGTGTTCTTAAGATTTTCGGTGAGAAATAAGTGTAACGCTTTCTTTCTCACATACACTGTGTTTATAGGAAATGAGACCTATATCACCTATTTACGAGTAAGCTTTACACTTAAGCTGAGGTCAGTGAGACCGAGTGCGTGACAAACACAATGTTATTGCCACAAACAACGAACATGAGGCAGAAATTACGACTCCAGAGGAATTTACAAGTTGTGGAAGTCCTTAGAAAATGTGATGAATGAAAGCTTTTGACGGAAGTGTCGTGATAAATTAAGTAAAAAACATCGTTATTTGTAAAGCTTCGTGAAGGCTGAGCTGATGATACGACGAAGGCAAGGAAAGGCAGACAAAATGGAAGCTAAATTATTAATCAGCCCATCATTCCAGAGAGCTAATTAATCAGTGATGAAATAAATCAAATAAAAATTATCGTAAGGAATTAATTACCCAGCCAGGCAATGAGCCAGTCAGGTGGAGAAACAATAGGGTATTCAAGTCGCAATTAAACAGCATCCAACTAGCCAGTCATTACGAGAAACACACAGCCAATCAAACGAAGTAATTAATCTACCAACCAGCCATCCAAATAATTAATCAATGAACCAGCCAGCCAAACTACGCTATATGATAACAGATATCCTTACAACGACCTAATCAATCAGCCAATAAGTCATCTAAACAAGATATCAAACAACTATTCAGAACAGTCATCGCTAAGTCAACTAGTTATATTTAGTTTAGTAATCAACTAGTTAATGGCAGATTTGCCATAGAAAAACAATCAACTAGCTCATGAAATAATCAAGAAGAAGTAATAAATAATCAATTTCTTACTTCAACACGTAGAAGTAAGCCTCCCCAATCAGGAAAATTCGATATTAATCATAGAGGCGTTCATGGGATCAGTTAATCAGTGAGGAAGCCACATAAGCAGGTAAGAGGGACTTAGTGTGTGGCGGGACTTAGTGTGTGGCGGGACTTAGTGTGTGGCGGGACTTACCGTGAAGCGATCATCAGCGGAGTACGTAAAGATCCCGGCTGTCAGGATGTGAAGGTCTCGCTGCCTCATCCAAGTCACCTGCACGTAGAGAACAAAACAGTCGGAACACAAAAAAACGGACCACAGACTTGAAAGTGATGAGACGACGACGTTTCGGTCCATCCTGGACCATTCTCAAGTCGATTGTGGGTCGTGATATCAACTCGATTGTGAGACTCTTGGACCATTCTCACAATCGACTTGAGAATGGTCCGTCCTGGACCATTCTCAAGTCGATTGTGAGTCGTGATATCAACTCGATTGTGAGACTCCTGGACCATTCTCACAATCGACTTGAGAATGGTCCGTCCTGGACCATTCTCAAGTCGATTGTGAGTCGTGATATCAACTCGATTGTGAGACTCTTGGACCATTCTCACAATCGACTTGAGAATGGTCCGTCCTGGACCATTCTCAAGTCGATTGTGAGTCGTGATATCAACTCGATTGTGAGACTCCTGGACCATTCTCACAATCGACTTGAGAATGGTCCAGGACGGACCGGAACGCCGTCGTCTTTTCACTTTCTAGTGTGTGGTCTGGTCAACATATTTCAGCCACGTTATTGTGACTCCTCGTCTGCACAAAAGAAGGTAGAAACATATAAGGACCTGTTGAAGCCATACATTGGGGCCCATATGAAGCAGTTAATGTTAATATTCAGTCAAACATTCCTCTCATCTGGGCTCTAGGAGACTCGAACCGTGGACCCCACGTGTGTGAGGCCGAAGCTCTATCGACCAAGCTATTGAGAAGTCTTAACAAGGAAATTTCCCTTAAACTCATTCATATATATGTCTAACCTACGCTTGAAACCATCCACCAATTCCACGTTTGTTATGTTACCCGGTAATCTGTTCCACAGTCCAACACCCCCGTTGTTCTAGTTAGTATTGACCCAGGTCTCTCCTAAATCCTAAGCCTATGCAATAACTCCTGTATGGTAATTGCAACAGAGTCAACACACCCGGCAGTAACAAATGTATGGAAAACTGCCACTTAGCAACACCAATCGTTATTGATCATCATGGTTCAACATCTGTATTGATCATCATGGTTCAACATCTGTATTGATCATCATGGTTCAACATCTGTATTGATCATCATGGTTCAACATCTGTATTGATCATCATGGTTCAACATCTGTATTGATCATCATGGTTCAACATCTGTATTGATCATCATGGTTCAACATCTGTATTGATCATCATGGTTCAACATCTGTATTGATCATCATGGTTCAACATCTGTATTGATCATCATGGTTCAACATCTGTATTGATCATCATGGTTCAACATCTGTTTTATGACCCTGAAAAGAATCTTGGATATTTTCCAGAAGAAGGTGAAACCTGGTACTGGAATTTATTAGCACAACGAAACACCCAGTAACACTAGTAGCTCCGGGCAATGCCAGTAACACTTGGATGTGCTACAAACAGGTGCTAATGATTGTAAGACGAGAGTTATGTTTGCAACAGCTAGTAACACATTTTTTTTGTTTTTTTTAACAAGCCCTTTTTCGTAACACTATACAATCGGTAAGTCTCTAAAACCAAGACGCGCGCGCATGCACACACACACACACACACACACACACACACACACACACACACACACACACACACACACACACACACACACACACACACACACACACACACGAAGGACCAAGACTCACACAGCATCAAGATTCACACACAGCACAGGTGACATCAAACGTCGCACCCAACACTGGCTGCTGTACAACACCAACCTCTCCATACCCAACACTGGAGCCTCTCAATCACCTCCCCCTCAAGTCCTCGACACTAATAACTCATTTATACTTTCCAACAGTTTGTGAGTGTACAATGTTGACCTGATTACTACGACGCATTAATTAATACGACCAGTTCATCCCCAAGCCTTGGCTAATTGCCTCGTGAATGACACATGCTCCTTGAAGTGAATCATTGTCGATAATATATTGTGTTGAACGAGATACAGAGAGCCGTCTCATTAAGCATTTATGAGAACTGAGACATCAAGTGTTATAAGTGTATTCCCACATCAATTAAAACTGTATTATAAGGTCATAACTCTCTATGTTGCTCCGGGAATGACCTAGTATCCTCGTCGTGCCTATTATACCCTAATATGACCCAAACCGAATATGACCTGATCGCCGCCAATACCAAATTATTCTTAGCTTAATATAACCAAGCCTTCACCACATATAATTTGGGAGTAGTTCTCGACTCACAATCGGAAATTCAGGGTTCGAATCCCGGTCAAAACAGAAATGGTTAGGCACGTTTCCATTCACCTAATACCGCTGTTCGTCTAGCTGTCCCCCGACAAAGCGAATTAATTTTTGTATATATATCCTACACGAATTAAAAATAACCTAAAAATGTTATTTAATGCAATCTAACCAAATATATATTTACATTTACACATGTTTTCGCATAAGCTCTCGAGATGAACGTATTTCGCCAAGAGGTCTACGAAGAGGGCCGCGCCATACCTAAAGTGATCTATCACAGAAGAATCCCCTAAAACAATTAAGAACATGTTAAAAACGCGGATCAATGTCCGCGGAGCTGCTGTATGGATTCAGCTACAAAACCGGCATTGAACTGCTTTCCGATACGCTTCTGGGAGAGTTGGGACAAGCATTTGAAATCCTCTTGCAATGTTTACGGGTTTCCAGCTTGAGCAGAGAAACAATAAACCATTGCAGAGGACACTCTACACTCCACTAGCTGAAGAATGCGGATTGGAGCACGATGAATGCCTGGAGGCTCTCTTAGGCGTCGCGACGTTGGAGAAAAATGTTGACTTACCCTCAAAGGATACCTGATCAACCAGGATGTGACTCGTACGTCAGGCTGCGAGCAGCTGCGTCCAACAGCCTGGTTGATCAGTCCGGCAACCAGGAGGCCTGGTCGACGACCGGGCCGCGGGGACGCTAAGCCCCGGAAGCACCTCAAGGTAACCTCAAGGTAACCCTTGGCATGTTGCAACGAGGAGAGAAAGTAGCAAGAAAGGAGGAGGGGAAAGTAGATGAAGAGTAAGAGGAATTGATAAGAAAAAAGGAGTAGGACTAGCAGAAATAGGAATAGCAAGAGAAGCAGGTGCAGGAGAAATAGCAGGACGAGCAAAGCTGGAAGAATGGAGGGAAAGGGATAGAAATAGATGTTGTAGAAGAGCGCAGACAGAAAGAGAGGGAGGAGTACAAGAACATGGAAGAGAGGGTGAGAGGCGGAAGACGGTACGAGGGAATGGGCGGATTAACGACAGATGAAGAGCAGAAAGCAAACGAATATATGACCCGGAATAATGGAGGAAGAGAGTTATTGGCCCGAAAAAAAGGAGAAAGCAATCAGGGGAGAGAGAGAGAAAAGGTAAATGTGGAAAAGTAATAAAGTTGACAAGGGAGAAAGAGGGAGAGAAAGAGATGGTGAGAGATCTCGAAAGAGGACAGAGAACTGATTGCACATACGAACATCACCACATTTTTCAAAATGTTACACATATTAATTATTAATAATTCATTGTGTCGGGGGACAGGCAGCCAGTGTATTTATATATGTTAGGGTTATATCGAGAGCCTCCCCTCGCCCCATTTCCCCTCAGGGTCGAATTACGGACCCTCCCCAGGATGAGACCCTACTACAAGCTATCTCCTGGGTACCTATTTACAGCTAGCTGAACATGCCTCTCATATACATACATTCATATGAGAGGCATTTTGATCTCTCATATGCATGTATGTATATACATGTTTGTAAATGTATTTTGATATATTATCGTGTACACACTCATGTAAAAACATGAGAAGTATACACACACACACACACACACACACACACACACACACACACACACACACACACACACACAGTTATATGACAAAGAGTGCTGGGAAGACGGGACACCACGAGCTTAGCTCTCATCCTGTAACTACACTTAGGTAATTACACTTAGGTAATTACACACACACACACACACACACAGGGGGTAGGGGCCTCGTAGCCTGGTGGATAGCGCGCAGGACTCGTAATTCTGTGGCGCGGGTTCGATTCCCGCACGAGGCAGAAACAAATGGGCAAAGTTTCTTTCACCCCGAATGCCCCTGTTACCTAGCAGTAAACAGGTACCTGGGAGTTAGTCAGCTGTCACGGGCTGCTTCCTGGGGTGTGTGTGTGTGGTGTGGAAAAAAAAATAAAAAAAAATAGTAGTTAGTAAACAGTTGATTGACAGTTGAGAGGCGGGCCGAAAGAGCAAAGCTCAACCCCCGCAAAAACACAACTAGTAAACACAACTAGTAAACACACACACACACACACACACACACACACACACACACACACACACACACAGGGATAGAAAAGCCCTCCTTCAAACAATGACTCAAAAAAGGCATTATTTCCTTAAAACAACCGAGATTTAACATGACAGTTAAAAAATACCTGAAGGTCAACCCTTGCCTGACCTTTGTCTCTGACTTTATTCAGAACTAACAAGTTCCCTGTTGCCTGACCACCTGATTTTAGACCCGAATCCATCAGAAACAGATGACTAACAGGGCGTCCCATAAGTCAAGTATCAGAGAACAAAATAATGTGATCAACTCGTATTATGTTTTGCTTCTAAATTATCATTAATCATTTTTTTTTCGAATTATCACTATTACTTATTATTATTTAGTGAATTATTTAGTGAATTAAGCAGCAGCATTGACAAAAATTGTTAATTAACCTACAGTTACAGATTTTTTTTAGGGAACCCTTTAGACTGAGAGAAGGCAAAATCTTACCGACTTGTCGCCAAGGTTCGAGACTGTGCAGGGAAGGAACGCTGACTCTCCCACCTTGGCTGTGACGTTGGAGGGAATGTTGTCGAACTGCGGCTGGAGGGCCTGGCCTTTCCCCCACCACTCCTCCTTCTCTGCTTCCTCTCCTTCAGGAGCGACACCTGTCAGCACGAGGGAGGCGTTAGCAACAGTGGGCTGGGGAGAAGCACATCACCAGAGGTAAACAAAAGGATCCAGATGTGACACAAGTAATTTATAATACACGTAGCTCCTGGTAATGTGATATACGTAGCTCCTGGTAATGTTATACACGTAGCTCCTGATAATGTAATGTACGTAGCTCCTGGTAATGTAATGCACGTAGCTCCTGGTAATGTAATGTACGTAGCTCCTGATAATGTAATACACGTAGCTCCTGATAATGTAATACACGTAGCTCCTGGTAATGTAATACACGTAGCTCCTGGTAATGTAATGCACGTACCTCCTGGTAATGTAATGTACGTAGCTCCTGATAATGTAATACACGTAGCTCCTGGTAATGTAATGTACGTAGCTCCAGATAATGTAATACACGTAGCTCCTGGTAATGTAATACACGTAGCTCCTGGTAATGTAATGCACGTACCTCCTGGTAATGTAATGCACGTACCTCCTGGTAATGTAATGCACGTAGCTCCTGGTAATGTAATGCACGTAGCTCCTGGTAATGTAATGCACGTAGCTCCTGGTAATGTAATGCACGTAGTTCCTGGTAATGTAATGCACGTACCTCCTGGTAATGTAATGCACGTACCTCCTGGTAATGTAATGCACGTACCTCCTGATAATGTAATGCACGTACCTCCTGGTAATGTAATGCACGTAGCTCCTGGTAATGTAATGCACGTAGCTCCTGGTAATGTAATGCACGTAGCTCCTGGTAATGTAATGCACGTACCTCCTGGTAATGTAATGCACGTACCTCCTGGTAATGTAATGCACGTACCTCCTGATAATGTAATGCACGTACCTCCTGGTAATGTAATGCACGTAGCTCCTGGTAATGTAATGCACGTAGCTCCTGGTAATGTAATGCACGTACCTCCTGGTAATGTAATGCACGTACCTCCTGGTAATGTAATGCACGTACCTCCTGGTAATGTAATGCACGTAGCTCCTGGTAATGTAATGCACGTACCTCCTGGTAATGTAATGCACGTAGCTCCTGGTAATGTAATGCACGTACCTCCTGGTAATGTAATGCACGTAGCTCCTGGTAAAGTAATACACGCAGCTCCTGGTAATGTAATGCACGTAGCTCCTGGTAATATAATGCACGTAGCTCCTGGTAATGTAATGCACGTAGCTCCTGGTAATGTAATGCACGTAGCTCCTGGTAATGTAATACACGCAGCTCCTGGTAATGTAATGCACGTACCTCCTGGTAATGTAATGCACGTAGCTCCTGGTAATGTAATGCACGTAGCTCCTGGTAATGTAATGCACGTAGCTCCTGGTAATGTAATGCACGTAGCTCCTGGTAAAGTAATACAAGTAGCTCCTGGTAATGTTATACACGTAGCTCCTGGTAATGGCCTCAAATGCCATGGACACCTGTCAGTACTAGTTAATGGTATGTGGTAAATTAAGCTGTAAGTTATTCATGAGAGCAGGAACATGAGAACAATGAGTCCCGGTCAGGTTTTATCAACACCGGCTCAAACGGTTCAGCTAAATTTTTACCAGTTTGGAAATCATTGATCTCCCTGCCTTTAATTAATCTTTGACCTCTCTAGGTGGTCCTCTAAGGTTCTGTAAAGGCTTTGTCTGAGAGCAATATGAAGGTCACACACTATGGAGGTGTGTACATGAATACTCTCGCATGGGGCGTACGTGGCATGACCTTAGTCTGTTGGTCTGACCTGAATGAGGGGCAGACAGTCTGGTTTGAAGGCTATACTATTTTGTCGACTTTTGGAGAGTAAAGTCTGTCTGAAAGTCATGTTGTGATTATCTATTTGTGTATTATACATACATATATGTATAATACATTATACATTATGTGTGTTCTAAAGATCAGTTCAAAGGAGTTGATTCACACTTTGATAAATTAATTTAACTTTCCGAAGGATAGAGTTCTTTGGGACTCTTTTTAATGGTGAAACTCGTCTAATACCGAGTCGGTACGTCAAACTCACACCTCATCCTCCGCCCTATGAGGCCTGACAGCTGAGTGGACAGCGCTCGAGATTCGTAGTCCTGAGGTTAAGGGTTCGATGCCCGGTGGAGGCGGAAACAAATGGGCAGAGTTTCTTGCACCGTGATGCCCTGTTCACCTAGCATTAAATAAGTAGCTGGGAGTTAGACAGCTGTTACGGGCTGCTTCCTAATGATGTGTAACAAAAAGGAGGCCTGGTCGAGGACCGGGCCGCGGGGACGCCATGCCCCGAAATCATTTCCAGATATCGTCAAGATAACCTCACACTGTTCTTCCCTCACCTCTCATGCTTCCTCATCTCTTCACTTGTGGTGAAATGTTATTCTGCCAGTGTCTATCTATATGCCTCTCCTCTCCATCTCTATCTCTATTATGTTTCTAGCTAACTCCGTCTAGGTATCTTTTCCTCCCCCAAACCCCCCCTGCCCACTTCTCACTCCCCTTATGAAACACTGAAACAAATATATTACTCACAAATGCTTTGCCTTTCCTTTCTCTTTATACATTTCTTTTTCCTTTTCAGAAACAACTCCACGTTATGCAGGCAATGAGACACAATAACGTGGCTAAAGTAAGTTGACCAGACTACACACTAGAAGGTGAAGGGACGACGACGTTTCGGTCTGTTCTGGACCTTTCTCAAGTCGATTGTCGATTGTCACAATCGACTTGAGAATGGTCCAGAACGGACTGAAACGTCGTCGTCCCTTCACCTTCTAGTGTGTCGTCTGGTCAACTCCACATTAATCACACGCCATATTTCACACTTGGCTTAGGGATGCTGATAATTTCATAGAGCCCTTTACTTAGAACTGCCCTGACCAGCCTATGTCCATCCCACAACCCAGACCATTCCCCCCTGCAAATTTGGGTGAGGCTAGCCCCTAGCGTCTTACTGGAACTTTGGACAGACTTTTTGGTGTAAGTACATATATATGACAGTACATATACTGGCATATTGTCCATCACGTGTTAATTTCATCATAATTTACACACACACATATATATATTATATTATATTATATTATATATATATATATATATATATATATATATATATATATATATATATATATATATATATATATATAATAAGCAATGTTAATGAAATAGTATTAACACTAAAGTCACCATACCTTTTATGAATTTCAGAATATCTTCATAGATAAAATGTGAAGAGTTCGCAACAGTGTTCTCATTCTTCCCCTCTCTCTCTCTCTCTTTACCATCACTCTTTCTCCCTCTCTCCCTCCTCTCCCTCTCTCCCTCCTCTCTCTCTCTCCCTTTCTCTCTCTCCCTGCCCTCTCTCGCCGTGAGGGTGCTGGCGGTACCATTACGAACCTTCTACCCGGAAAAGCTATCAGAGGCAACATGACATGAGAAATACAGCATGGAATTTCACAATGCATAACCCAACTCATTGTTTATCGTTGCCTTCTGTAGTCCGCCTGGACAATTATGAAGAAATTATAATAGAGGATTTCATATTTGATTATTATCCCAAAGCATTTTTTGTTATCGCACGCACGCACACGCAGACAAACACACACACACTCACACACACACACACACACACACACACACACACACACACACACACACACACACACACACACACACACACTTATTTAGGGAAATCACTTAGGGAAATTACATTTAATGTTCATGAGTATGACTGGAACTGGTTTTTTAACCAACTACTATACTTTTTTGGGGGCCAGAGGGAGAATGAATTTGAGTCCAGTATAACTGGCAGAAAGATGCAGTAAATTACACACACACACACGCACGCACACACACACACACACACACACACACACACACACACACACACACACACACACACACACACACACAAATAGAGAGGTCCATTGTCTATTCTCTATTGTCAAATAGAAAGATCTGGGGGTCGATATCACACCGAACCTGTCCCCAGACGCCCACATCAAAAGGATATCATCAACGGCATGTGCCAGACTGATGATATCTTGTGAAATAAATCGTTCAGGACCTTGTATACCACTTATGTAAGACCAATCCTGGAGTATGCAGCTGCAGACTGAAGTCCATACCTACTTAAACACAAGACAAAGTTAGAGAAGATTCAGAGGTATACCACCAGACTAGTCCCGCAACTGACAGGAATGAGCTACGAGGAACGGCTAAGGGAGCTGAACCTCCCATCCCTGGAAAACAGAGGAGTAAGGGGGAGACATGTTAACCACCTACAAAATTCCCAGGAGAATTGACAAGGGTGGACAAAAACAAGTTATTTAGCACGGGTGGAATATGAACAAGGGGACAAAGGTGAAAACGTGGAGCCACAGACACAGCAGTGATGTGGTGGAGGCAGACTCTATACACAGTTTCAAGTGTAGATATGATAGAGCCCAATAGTCTCAGGAATCTGTATACCTGTTGATTGACAGTTGAGAGGCGGGACTAAAGAGCCAGAGCTCAACCCCCGCGTAAGCACAACTAGGTGAGTACAACTAGGTGAACACACACACACACATACACACACACACACACACACACACACACACACACACACACACACACACACACACACACACACACACACACACACAGCAATTATGGGTCACCTGCGACTCTGCAATAAACCCAGCAGCGCCAACTTGAACTCAACGGACCTTGACTCCCCTCTCCTCTTACAGTGCCTCCACTCCCCTCTCCCCTTAAAGTGCCCCTACTCCCCTCTCCCCTTACAGTGCCTCCACTATTTCCATTCATTTATAACCAGAGTATCTTAACCCACAAAAATCATTCATAATACGATCAACTTCCTCAATGCAGTTCAATGCTTCGTCCGAAAAAAAAGCCATAAATGTGAGTTTTCAACTATTTACATCTTCATAATGGACTCTAGCTCCCCCCCCCCCCCGCAGCACCGAATTAGAGTAAGGAAATTAGTCTCACGAACTGCACTTCACCTGACTA